GTTGCCAACGGCTCAGCTGCTTGAAGGTGTAAGTATTACAAGTAGTTGTTGTACCTACCACCTTTAATGGTTTCAGGGGGCATACTTTCTATTAAGTATACATACCTGGTAACCATGGACTGCTTCTGGCTAGATTAACTCTTGTGTAATCAATGGTGCTAGTGAATCTTATATCAGATCCACTCTGATTTAGCCACCCACACTAGTAGCAAGTATTACCTTCACTGGGGGCAGGGGTAACTGCAGTTGGATCCCCGGACGGATACCCTGATGCCGTCAATCCTTTTTCTGCACCTTGTCCTCACCCACTTAATGAGGTACTAGATGCGGTGATCCCATAAGTGGGAACATTTCAAGTCCACCCTAGTTTGGGGGTTTCAGGGGGTGTCGGCCGTTGGGCGGTTCAATGGCCAATTCAGTCATCTTTCCAAGATTCCTTTTGAGTCTCTCTCCCCTCTCCCGGGGAGACCCACGTGACCAGTTTTGGCAGTGAGCAAGTACAAGTGTGTGGTACACATGTGTGTGTGTCTGTCTGTCTGTCTGTCTGTCTGTGTGTCTGTCTTGGCCATTTTATGCCGATGCACTCCGTGTGGTGTGGACCCGGTGTGCATTGGTGGTCGATTCACATGGCTTCGCCAGTTGTGTGGATTAGGCAGTTACGTGGCGCTAGTCTTGATCTGTCTCATTCAGATCTTGTTCGCTATCGTTGCTATGAGAGAAAAGCTATAGGTGCACATCCAGTGCATTTGCAGATTTGCGTGCTTCTCTTGCGACGGGCGTAATGCCGTATACATGGTACATGGTGTGTGTGTGTGTGTGTGTGCGTGCGCGTGCGCGTGTGTTTCCAAAATATAATGCCGTGTTGCTATTTGCGGACCGAGGATGCACTCAGTTGCATGTTTAGTCGGGCACTTGACAGGATACCAGATGTCATGTCTGTTCAAAACACTAGCCTTTAGACTTGAAAAAGTTTGCAACGGGGTGACATCCTACGCGCCTGTGTAGTCAAAAACATCCTCTTCTGGCCGAAATGGGATCCATTCTCGTCTTGGCTATGTGCGAGTACCGGTATTCTGTCGACGTGCGGACGTTTGTTGACACCTGATGTCACACGCTGGTGTGGATGTCCTTTTTAACCAGTTGTGGCGGCATGGTCCCCAGCAGGCCGGGGGCCTAGTCTGTTCACTACCGGTGAGTGTCTCACCCGGCAGTGAAAGAAATCGCGACGGGTCCTGCACTCCTGACAAACAACCATCTAATGTGAGTAATGATTTTGATGTACATGGTTTATTGACAAAATAGAATTACTAGTATGTGGACAGCGGACTGGATTCGCCTTGCTATGTTAATACGCGCGTAAGCCGCCGCGCTATCATAGCTCTTTCTTACCAGGGTAGCTGTGGCCTGGAAATCCAAAGCCCTGCTCGACGTTTCTCCTCTTACTTATGAAACTCCACTCGGTGCTCCTTTGGCATTGTCGTTGGGAGATGCTCGGGAAGGTAGAAGGTGCTTCTGTGGCAGCTCGAACTGACCTTCGTTTACTGATAGTACAGAGATGGCTCAGGTGGACTCACTGGATTCGCCAGATGGTGGTGGTGCCTTTATGAAAGGTGACACATCACCCAAACTTCACAAGCGCAAGGAGTTTGTTCGCCTCAAGAACTTGCTGACCGGTCAAGATGCGGTGGATACGCTGCATCAGAGCGGAATCATGGTAGGGAGCTACGCTCTATCTCACCTGCTATCGTTGCGGGCATTGCATAGATAGCCCATGTAGGGGATGATTCTACCGTAGTTATGATAATTATTCCTTGTCTCCCTTGCACACATTCTTGTACACACACATACACACATAATCATAATGGATGCATATTTGCATATACACACATACACATACATACATACATACACATGCGCGCACGCACGCACACACACACACACACACACACACACACACACACACACACACACACACACACACACACACACACACACACACACACACACACACACACACACACACACACACACACACACACACACACACACACACACACACACACACACACACACACACACACACACACACACACACACACACACACACACACACACACACACACACACACACACACACACACACACACACACACACACACACACACACACACACACAGGTGTGCCCAATAGCCTGTACGTCACAGCGATGCGTTGGCTCAATGATGACGCCGAGTGGTGGTGAGCAGCAGCCGAAGAGACCACACGGTGTGGTGCGGCCGAAAAAGGAGGTGGAGGAACATGCTCGGGATTTCTTGAACCAGTACTACACGTCACTGAAAAGGTAATTTGATACTTTTCAATATGTAAAGAGTTACTTAAAAGATGCAAAACATGACACTTGTCAAATTTGACATATTGAGATTTTGAGCTCATTGTGATCAAAAAGTCTACCTTCTGGCAAAATTTCACATTCAAAAAGGTGAGAAGCAATATGATGGCCAAATATGTATTTGCATGAAGTGAATGCACATAAAATGAATCCTTTTTGGTCACGTGTACCACAAACGTACACTGACTCCGCACACTTACACCCCGCACATGTACCCCGCACGTAGCCCCCCCCCCCCCAAAAAACGGACTTACATGTATTATTTTATTTTATTTATTTATTTCTGCACTTCGTGGCATGTCAAGACAGCCAATTGAATTAAGGAGAGGGTGAGACCAACCACGGAAGAAGAGAAAAAAAAGAAAATGAAGAGCACGTACACAAAGTGGGAAGGGATTAGCAACTTAAAAAGCAATGGGATGCTCAGCGAGCTATGCAGCGGAAGTGGTGACTGTGACTTTGTTTACTGGGAGATACTGAAGTGCTGTCTGACGAGGGTACGGAATTTGGGCATATCTGGGGCTTGTCTAACACTGGGAGGCAGTTGGAGCCACGTGGAATAGGAGGAAAAGAAAGGGGAATTTACGAATAGGGTAGACCTAGCTAGGGGGAGACGAACGCAGCTTCGGGTGGTGCCACCTGAATTGAACCAATTAAGGGACTGTAAATGAGCAGGGTGCTGGTCAAGAAAAATTGAATGTGCCAGGGTGCACTTGGAAGCATCAAGGTAATGTTGCAGAGTGGTAGTGGATGCAGCAGCATACAAGTCTAGATTTGTGATATAACGATCAGTACGAAATATGATGCGCAGTATACGGCGATGGAGAACTTCTAATTTACCTATGTGGGTTTTGTTAATGGTGGACCAGGCAGGGAAGCCGTACGTGAAGAGGGGAAGAATGTATGATTTATAAAAATTAATCCGGCAATTTTGGGGCAAATGGGACAAGTGACTTGACATTATGCCGACAGATCGGCATACTTTGGACGACACATGATCAGCATGGTGAGACCAGGAGAGGGCGGAATCTATGACAATGCCAAGGTGTTTATGGTGGGGCGCTACAGAGATAGGGTGACCGGGATCATCGGGAAAGTGGAAGATGGGCACTGGATCTGTGGGAGGGGGAAACAGGAGGAGCTCGGTTTTGGTCACATTTGGCTTAAGGTACCAAGTGCTCATCCAGTGAACAATGTCGTTGATACAGGTCTGAACTTTGGGGTACAGGGTGGCGTGAGATGGGGAGGAAGCAAGGACAGTGGTATCATCTGCAAACAAGGAAATATTGGGAATTGAATAGGGGAGGTCATTAACGTATGTGAGGAAGAGCAGGGGACCTAAAATGGAGCCCTGGGGCACTCCGGATGTCACAGACTCGGGGTCAGATAAGGTTCCATTTACTGTGACACACTGATTTCGGTCCAAGAGGTAGCTAGTTATCCAGGCGAGTAGGGAGCCGGAGACACCATGGGCACGAAGTTTGGCGATCAGGCCCTTGTGCCACACGGTGTCGAAGGCCTTGGAGAGGTCGAAGAAACAGATGCAGGAGACCTGCCGCTGGTCTTTTAGGGAGCAGAGGTCTTGGATTATGCGGGACAATTGCAGGGATGTGTTGTCCTTACGGCGGAAGCCAGATTGTGCGGGGTGGAGAAGAGGGGAGATATGGTCGTACAAGCGGTCGTACACTATTCTCTCTAGCAGCTTGGAGACGCAGGACAGGAGGGAGATTGGTCGGTAATTAGACGGGTTGTTCTTGTCGCCTTTATTTTTGTACACTGGAATGACAGTGGCTGACTTCCATCGTGACGGGAATGTGCTGGAGGAGAGGGAAAGGTTAAAAAGAATGGAGAGTGGGCGGGCAATTGAGTAGCTCAGTGTCCTGAGGATCTCATTGGTGATCCTATCAGCTCCGGGGGATTTGTTCAGAGGCATTCTTGCAATATACTTGTGGACAGTCGATGAGGTGATGATCAGGGAGTGCAATGTAGTTGCTGGTGGAGGTATGGAGGAAATAGTGGGAATAGGAGTATCGGGGTCAACCTGTAAGCCAGCACTGACGAAGTGGCGGTTCAATAAGTTACCAATGGATGCCGGAGAGGTGCTTGTTCGACCATTGGGCCCACCATCTTCGAAGGTATGACCCGGGCGCTGGTAGGATTTCGCAGTTGACGAATGAGCACAGGGAGGGATGGGAGGCGAGGGTTTGTGGGAGATATCGTGGCACGGAGGTTGCGGATGTAGCAGCGATGGCAGGATCTGGAAAGGCATTTTACATAGTTACGTTGGTGTTTGTATTTGTTGAAATTTGTAGGGGATGGGTATTTCCGGTAGATGCTGTAGAGATCGCTCTTGACTTTAATAGCTGCTTTCAGTGATGGAGTCATCCAGGGGCAGGGTTTGTGGCGTGATTTCCGACGAGGAGGTGAGGATCTTCCTATATATAGGTCCAAGGCACCTTCAAGGTATACCACGCACATTCACACAGATGGACACATGCACGCACATATATACACACACACGCGCGCGCGCGCGCGAGCATGCACACACACATACACACACACAAACACACACACACACGTGTACACACACACAGTCAATGGCCACGGCACGCTGCACCCCCCATCCCATCCCACCCCATCCGTTTTCTGACCCCGGCCAAACCATGCTCCACCTTACTCGTACACTTAAAGTTGAACTGTAGAAAAGATCACCAATCTCTAAAGATCATCTGTCTGCAATGAACACCTATCATTAAGACTACATTGTACTTATTATCAAAAACCACCTGTTCTCCCAGCATGATGCGGTTGTTCAGCACACGTTAATGTTGCACTCTTGAAAAATGGGGGCGGAATGGTGTTTCCTACTTTGCTTACTTTGTTCCCATGGTAACCTCAGCAAGGACAGTCCGGCTCACGAGCATCGCCTAGCAGCCATCCTGCAAGAGATTGAGGACTGCGGCACGTACAATATCACCGAGAAGGAACTGGCGTTCGGGGCCAAGCAGGCCTGGCGTAATGCGCCGCGTTGCATTGGACGCATCCAGTGGAGCAGGCTTCAGGTGAGGCGGGCATCATGATCTGGGTATATGAGTGTTGGCAAAGTACCTTCAAGCTCTCTGTAGTTGAATTTTGTGAACATTCTGCTGTGATAACTTGTACACGTGGTAGTGGGTGTGTGTGAGGGGGGGGGGGGGGGGGGGGGCATGGTGACCAGGTGTTTCCTCAAACTTCTGAAAAGACGGCGGCAATTTCATGAAGACAACACCGTCAAGATTGATCATGACCTGAGGTCATTTCTCGACTCGTTTGTCCTGCTCAATTTTACTCTTCATCTGCAGTTGTTTGACTGTCGTCACGTGACTACGGCAAAGGAAATGCTGGATGCTATCAAGCGGCACATCGAGTACGGCACCAATGGAGGCAATATCAGGTAAGGTCACGTCTACACCGCTCAACATCCAGCCAGCTTTACATTATCAGTATTGTCACAAAAAAATGATTGACTGCATGCTTCTGGATGAAATGATGCTCTGCGCAAACGCTACGTGGCTAGAAACATTTCACATAATATTATCTTCTTGAAACGCTGTAAGGAAAATGGAGTGTGCCCTACTTCCATCCAGAAGCGGGTCCACAAAGCCCGTGCATATCACTCATTAGCAATAGAAAGAGTATTCCTCAAAGACGACATTGCGCGCTCTACTGACACATTGTGTTCTGTTATTCTTCAGTCACGGCTTTCCACTGATGATTGTGACAAGAAAATCGATTTTGGTAAACCTTCATGACTTTGTTGTAGTGTGGCGATGATAGCAGAATTTGTTCTCTTTATAGCTATTATAAACTTGGTCATATCTCGGTCTTTTTAACCTGCTACACTGAATGCAGGAAAAAATTTATGATTACTGTAAGACATGTATATATAACGAGGAAGCAAATCTAACGTTTTAACGGATGACATTTCTTCGTTATACAGGTCGTCCCTCGTTAATACATAATCTCTGGGACTTGACATATGTTATGTATTAACGGGGTTTATGTACTAAACGAAAGTGTATATAACTTGCTTGTATAAGATAATTTTTCACTTTTTTCAACTTTTCTGAGTGTTTCTTGCTACCATGACTACAGTCCATTTCAAAACTATAGACGCGTACCTAGGCAAAAACCGTTATGCCAGCATCTATACCACATAAAATCTGTGATCACTTTGTGCATAAATTTTTCCAAATTGGGCGTCTGTTATCCAATCCTTTAGAAACTATATGAGAGTAATTGTGGAGCGATCCTGAGCAATATACCGAAAACTATTCTCAAAAAGTTCCAGCCAAATTTGAAATATTTCAAAAACCCTACGCGTCTATAGTTTTGAAATGCACTGTAGGCAGCGAGATATTCTTGATTCCCTCGATAAACATAAAAATTATGTTATATCGGTTACAGTTAGCGAAGATTCTACAGTTTACATGATACATGCTCAGCCGCACCTGTACAGTCACTCGGAAAAAACCCATAGCTTTGTCAGTTTGTGATGTGCGCTCTGATTTCTATGCTAATTGCGTCCACAAGTAAAAGCCTCGACTGGAGACCAAAAAAAAAAAAAAAAAAAAAATTCACGGTTCGCGTGAGACTCGGCCAAAGGCCCAGTTTTCCGCATCCGCAGGAACGCCACCACCCTCTTGGATCAAGGCGCAGATGCAGCTCCTAAGCGGTGGGAGGTGAGTAGATCAGACCCACCACAAAGTGGTCAAAGACCGAGACCAAAGGACCAACAAATTATGTACTATTGAGGTAGGTGACATGCGGGTACGGAGAAATGTTATGTACTAACGGGGTTTATGTACTAACGGATTATGTACTAACCGACAACATTTGTATGGAAGTGACCACGTTTCGTCCGGGACTTGAGATTTCTTATGTACTAACGGGGTTTATGTACTAACCAGACTCGTATTAACGGGGGACGACCTGTAATAAGATCCGTTGAGGCCGTACTGCTTCATATATGCTGTGTGTGGATATGGCAGAATACTGCAAGATCGTTAACATATCTTCTCGTTAACCTATGAATTTTGGACAATCGTTAAATTTGCGACTCGTTATAATACATGTCTTACAGTATTGGAAAAAATTCAAAAATCCTTTATTATAATTTTATGATTTGACAGTTTAAAAGATAGTGCTCCAGTGCCTGTGATGGCCAGATCGCAGTACACAAGAGGTACACAACAGAAAGTAGGGCTTCTTTTGTTGTAACTCAGAATGTCGTGGTAACAACCAATCATCAGACAACAGAAGGAGATGAGAAGCAGCACAGGTATAGAAAGCCAAGCAGAGGAGACTGGACGGTCATCAATCCAGTGCAGACACTAGGACTTAGTGTTACAATCAACACCTCACAGAGCTAGAGGTAGTGTGCTCTGACGTGCTAGAATCAGCACCTCAATGTGCTGGGAGCGTAGAGCCAAGCATTGAGGTGTTGATTCTAGCACATCAAAGCGCACTATACCTCTGTGAGGTGTTGATTTTAACATTAGTCCTAGTGTCTGCACTGGATTGATGACTCCTGTCTCCTCTGCTTGACTTCATATACCTGTACTGCTTCTAATTTGCTCCTGTTGTCTGATGATTGGTTGTTGCCATGAAACTCTGAATTTCCACATACAAAGCCCTACTTTCTGTTGTGTTCCTCTTGTATTTTCAACACTTTTATCGCAGCCTCCTCGGGCTTGACCACTTTTTGGCCGCGAAACATTTGCAGACTGGACGGCCCTTGCCTTCATACTCTATCACTCTGTACTTTGAGAACTAATACTTCAGGTGCAATAATATATTTTAGGCCTCGAAGGCCAACGCTGAAAATAGCCGAAATTTAATATGTGCTGGACGTTTGTTGATTTACAGCAACTCATTTGTGTAATGAGCAGGGGCGTAGGACACGGTACGGTCACTACGGTACTGACCGTACCACTTTTTGCCCCAGGTATACCGGTACTCCGTGAATCAATAAAGTACACTAATCTGGGTTCTAAATTTCAAAATTTCAGGCTCAGCACCCCCCCCCCCCCCCTCCCCACAAGGAAATTGTACTTCAAATGGCTGACCGTACCACACTAAAAATACCTTCCGATGCCCCTGATGAGCATCAGTTACTTGGATGGAGAGGTCCTGAAAGTTTGCTTTTCCATGACCTCTCACTTTCTTCTCCTTTCCATGTGTTTCTCAATCCGTCAGGTCGGCCATCACAGTTTTCCCGCAGCGCATTGACGGCCAGAGCGATTTCCGTGTGTGGAACGGTCAGTTCTTCAAGTACGCCGGATTCAAGCAGGAGGATGGCAGTATCATCGGTGACCCATCCAGTCTAGAGTTTACTGAGGTCAGTATACAAGGAGTGCGTACAACGAGTCCTCCTGCATAGGCAGGCATTCTTGTGATGAAGCTAACTAAGGAGGCTGAACTATTACGTCGCCATCTTGTTAGTCTCGTCTGGTGTGTGTGTGCGATGATTAGGCCCTGGCGGATAATGCCGGCAGAAAAATTGGCAGAATTCGGTACTTTTTCTGGTAAGTTTCATGCATGTTTGGTATGTGGATAAAGAAATGGAGCAGAATTCGAGGAATTGCCTGCCATAAAGGTTTTATGGTTCTGCCAATTTCACTGCTTTTCGAACAGAATCTGCCACCCTTTCGATCATTATCCGCTAAGGGCTAGCGATGATGTCATTCGACTGGACTCTACGGCTTGACGGGATTTCCCCCTTTGAATACCTTCACTTCTTCAACTCTGCTGTCCAGTCTGAAGCTGGGTTGGCTGCTGTTTGGAGCAATTGTAGTTTTTTAAACTTCTTCACACATATACAGATATGCAAGGGTCTGGGCTGGACGCCGGAGAAGGAGAGCCGTTCGTCACGCTGCCCCTGGTGCTGCAAGCGCGTGGCCAGTCACCGGAATGGTTCGACATCGCCGATCTCAATCTGCAAGTCGACATCACGCATCCAACGTAAGCACCATATGGGGGGGGGGGGGCGAATATTCCCTAATGTGCTGGAGCAGTGAGACTGTACGCGCTGCTCATGTGCCCTCAACAACCATCATTCGGTTGTTTCCCATGATGAGATTGTTCATATAATGGAAAAGGACAAGTGGTATGTGATGTCTGAGCAACACAGAAACCGCAATAGCAACAGCTTCTCAGGACACACAGGACATCATGGTTTTGGCGCGCATTCACGCAGACCGAGAGAAACCATTTTTAAAAAATACAAGCACGTGTTCTCTACCACACTTTGATCAAGTGGGCCATAGAATGTTAGTGTCAGATTTCACTTTCTTATTTAAAAAATACTCAATCTGCGGACAGAACTGTTTCGTCCTTTGTGGACTCAACAGCGCAGCACAGAGGAAATGATGCCGAAGCTGATAGCAATTGTATTGTATTGTATTGTATTTTATTATTTTACTTGGGCATTCCCAACAGACCCTAAGGTCTTCTTACAGGGTGCCCAAGATGAATGAAATTGTTAAGTTCCTGGCGAAATGAATTGGGGATATGATTTGTGCGAAGGGATTCGGGAAGCGCATTAAAGCGGTCAGCACCAAGGAATGAAATAGATCTGTATCCAGCTTGGGCTTGCACAATGGGTAAGGAAAGGGAATAATTGACTTGGCCGCGGGTTACTCTGTCTGTGTGAGCGCAGTCACGGCGAAGGGAGAACATGTCAGAGAGGAGTGAACTGCAGATATTGTGGATGCAACGGAACACGAAGAATATGGACTTAGTATGATATCTTTTGTCTAAGCTAATTATGTGGTATCGCTCAAGCAAGTATGATGTCCGCGTGAATGTGTCATGCTCAAATATGCATCTAAGGGCTCTCTTACTTATGCGTAGCAGCTGATCTCTCACATTGTCAGCGAGGCAGTGGACATAGGCAGTGCTGGCGTACTCGAGCTTGCTCTGGACTACTGACAAGTAGAACTGCCTTCTGGCCTGGACAGCAAGGTTCCTCCTTCCACGTCGAAAAGCACCTAGTTTCTTTCCGATGTCTTCCCTGAGGGAGTTAACGTGGGCACTGAAACTTAAAGTTGAATCGAGAGTCAGTCCTAGATACTTAACTTCGTCAGACGGGGCAATAACAGTCGAACCACAGACAATGCTCAGGTTAGGTGGGGGATGTGAGCGTCTGCTGTGGATCAGTAGTACTTGGCTCTTGCTGGAGTTCAGGAGCAGGCCGCGATCTGTGAGGTGCTGCTTAACCACTGAAAAATCGTCTTCTAAGTAAGACATGAGAATTCGTGGACACTTTCCAGAGGCATACAGGGTGGTGTCGTCTGCATAAAGAAGGCATTGGGAACGCAATGGCAGAGTGGGGACAAGTCGAGTGTAGATGCTGAAGAGGGTAGGGCCTAGGACGGAACCCTGGGGAACGCCCCTAGTGCAGGTTCTACAGTCACTTGAGGTTCCGTTCACTTCTACGCGTTGCTGTCGGTGAGACAGATACGACTTGAACCACTCAAGAGCATTTCCACGGATCTTCAGATTGTGAAGGTCATCTATTAGCGTTTGATGGTGGACGCGGTCAAAGGCTTTGCTCATATCGAGCAGCAGTACGGCCGTATAGTCTCCGGTATCCATGCTTCTCTGCCAGTTGTTGATGGCAAGTGTTAAAAGGTCCTCAGTACTGTGGTTCCGCCTGTATGCAAACTGTTCATTTGGAATTGCTCCGGGTGTGATGTCCAGATGGTCGTGAAGCTGCTGGAGCACTAGTGATTCCAAGACTTTGGAGATAATGGGCAGTAGCGAGACTGGGCGATAGTTGGAACTGTCGTAGGGGTCGCCTTTCTTAAACACTGGACACACAGACGCTAGTTTGTAGGCTGACGGTACCTTTCCGCTAGACAATGACTGGTTGAAGATGGAAGTTAAGGAATTGGCCAGCTCGGCGGCATGGTGTTTCAAGATGTAAGCTGGTATGCCGGCTGATCCAGATGCTTTCGTGGTATTCAATCGTTCGAGAATCTTCGTTACTGCTGCTGTTGTAACGGGTTGGAATTCGAGAAGGCAGTTGTCTAAACAGTCGTCCGCCGGAGTGTCTGGGGTCGTAAGAGCAGCGCGGTGTTCATCATGGACGATATTGCCTAGGGTATCTGACAAAGATGAGAGGGAGGCTTTCGGTGTGGGGTGGGATTTTCTCCTTCCAGTTAGTTGATTCAGCACTGCCCATTGGAGTCTAGGATTTCCTGTAGCGGCACTGAACTTATCTTTGTAGTACACACTTTTCAGTTTGCGGTTTAGTAAAGTTCCTTGACGACGTATTGCACGATACTGCTGTCGGAGGCGGTCATCCATGGGGTGCTTTATTAAGGCGCGGTGGGCTGAGCTTCGTCGATGAAACATCTGTTTCAGCTCTGGGGTGACCCAGGGCTGGGGGCGGGGTTTGGAGTAAGCTGCGCGCTTCTGGGTAACGAATGGTGCAAGATCATCTAGTACTGTCATGACACTTTGTTGCCAGTGGCTTGCCGCTGCATTTAGAGTATAACCGCCGGATACATCTGAGGGGTCAAGGATGTGTTTGAGAGCTGCAGACGTTACACTACGGTCAAGGTGAGCCAGGCTAGGTTGGCGTCTTCGAGAGAATTGCTCGTGTGGCTGTTCAAAGTTGGCTCTACTAACACGGACAGAGAGGCCAATAAGATGGTGGTCGGACAGGCCATCGACGCTGTGAACAAATGTACTATGAAGAGACATGGGAGAGGAAGACGGAGCAGCCGTTGTCATTGTTGTCGGTATGAGTGCAAGGTCTAGGCATGACTGACTAGGAACTCTGGTGGGCTGTAGTATGACGTTTTGTAAGCTGTGGTCAGCGCAGAGGCCTTGTACATAGCGGGCGTTTGGGTGAGGTGGGACAGAGAGCATGTTGACATTGTAATCACCGAGGAGGAGGATGTCCGGACATGTCGCGGAGGCCATCTGCACGCTATTGTCGAGCTGCTCCCAGAAATCCACATGGCTGTCGGGAGCGCGGTATACGCAGCCGATGGATAGAAATGGATTCGTTCGGCTATGGGTGTGCAACCCAACGAATATGGTCTCTAGCCTGTCGTTGACTTGAAGTTGCCTGGATTTCAGTTGTTCCTGCACATACATGGCAACGCCGCCACCCTTTCTGCGATCAGCTCGGTCCCGGCGATAGAGAGTGTAGGCTGGTATAGCAAGATCGCAATTCATCACAGTAGAGTCCAAGCATGTTTCACTGATTGCTAGCACATCGATTCTGTACTTGTACATTATGCAATGGATTTCATGAGTTTTATTTCTTAGGCTACAGATGTTGATGTGGGCGATGGTTAAGCTCTTGATGGGTGAAGACGGACAATCAGGCACTGTTTGACTGGATGGATAGTTACAAGGATTTCTTAAAATGTCAGGTGCTGGGTCAGCGACGACATCTGTTGCTCGGAGATGAGGTGAAGTAGCTGAGAGGGAGTGTTGCTGGTGATTTCTTGGACACCCTGATGAAACCTATTGTGTTGCCAGCTCATCGATTTCAGTTGCACTGTATGGGGTGCCATCTGGGTTCAAAATCTCACCATACGGTAGCGAGCAACGGATCTCCTTTTGGCGGAGTTCCTTATACCTAGGCAGGGCCTGTCGTCTAGCAATCTGCTGTTGCTTGGTCAGGTCGTTGTTCACGTACACATCTTGATCATTCGGTTTCAAATCCAGACGTTTACGGTACACTGACAACTTGGCCTCGTGGCTTTTCATGCGTAGCCTCACTGGCCTGGCCTTGCCCTGTATGGCTTTGCTGGCGGAACCAATGCGCTCTGCAGAGAGTATTTGGTCAGCACTAATCTGGAGGAGCTGCTCACATCTGGATGACAGTGCTACGCTGTCCTCATTGTCCGCTTCGGGGATGCCCCTGAGAATAAGGTTTTCCGACCTCTTCACCCTCTCTACCTCCTCTGCTATGACCTCGGCAAGCTGCGTTGCACTGTGGCTCCCAGCTGTCTGCCACGCGTTTCCACGTGGTGCATTGCTTTGCACCGCACTCCTGGTACGGTACGCAGGGTCATCATCTCGAGTACGGAAAGTCCTCTCCATCTCCTCCACTCTCACTTCAAACTTCGTCAGCTTCTCTCTCAAGGAGCGATTTTCCGCCATTACACTTTCTAGCTTCAGGGAGATTTCTTGAAAGATGCTGTTTACTCTCATACTCATATCCTTCTGCTCCCGCAATATCTCGTTTAACGTGCTGCGCATGGACGCAGTGTCGTCCTGTTCCTCCTGGCTCCCGTCATAACAGGTGTTGTCAATTTGCTGTCGCAGGCCGTCAGGAGGCGAGCGATCCGCCGCGGGAGACTTTCTGCTCAACCTCTCAGGAGTTTGGCGAAGAGAAGACGACTTCACACCTGGAACTGCTACTGGCAGCCTGCTTGGCTGACTGGCTGGCATGCTGGGGGGGAACAAGGGGGGACTTTGACCAGAGCTCAAAAACCTGCAACCAGTTCCTACGTCACAAATCCAGGTCGCGTGCATCAATGAAAAGTAGATTTTCCAAAGCCAGATTTAAACCAGGCCCGAACGTACATTGCCAGAGTGCTCAAACTGACAAGTCAGTGAGCTCTGCATAACGCAAATAAAAAAAGGCACTACCCCACACAAGAGTGCTCAACTGCTACGAGAGCAGGAGCGAAACACAAAAATAAAGAATATTTTATCTGTAAAGCAATCTGTAAAGCACTGACTTTTCTGGTGAGATGTACAGGGGATGACATCGACATGACATCATACACAATGACATCATACACAATGACATCATACACAATGACATCATACACAATGTCTCTTGAGCTACATTATACATGTGCTAGGGTGATGTCGGCACCTGCGCACACGCCGGGTTCCATGTCCCACACCAGTGAACAATGTCGATGGAGCTCTGCGCTCTTCTGTTCCAACCATTCTCGACGACATCATGCACACACACACACACACACACACACGCACACATACACACACAGACACACACACACACACACACGCACAGACACACACAGACACACACACACACACACAAGCACACGCAATGTGTATCCAGCTTCTTGGATGATGCCCACACTCAAATGGCTACTTATACCAAGCTATGCCATCCCAGTGAACAATGCTAGAGTGATCCTTTACTCTACTGTTGTTTCTACTGTTCTCTGTTGTGCAGGTTTGAGTGGTTTGCGGACATGGCGCTGAAATGGTACACTGTTCCCGCCGTCACTAACATGATGCTGGATTGCGGTGGCATTGAATTCCCCGCTACGCCGTTCAGTGGCTGGTGAGTTGATCAACCGCCACAGAGTGTTTGAATTCTTTATTCTCACGATGGCACCATCGCCAATAAGAGAGTTAACTCTGACATTGTGTTAAGATGGGGGCGGATGGGATTGAGGGCAAATCAAGCGGCATGATTCAAGTTTGGGTGCAAATAGGGAACGGAGATCTTCCTGATCATACTTGTGTGTTTGTGTGCGCGCGTGTGCATGTACAATGACATGTCATGTGTGTGTTCGTGTGCGTGCGTGCATGTGCGTGTCTATGTATTGGCATGTTTACCTGCTTATGTGCGTATCAATTTCCATGCAGGTACATGGGTACTGAGGTTGGAAGAGATTTGTGTGATGAAAATCGTTACAACGTGTTACCCGTGAGTCATAGGCAATGCTTGCTGTGCCGATTGTTCAGGGAAACGTCCGTTACCATTTTAAGGCAACAGTGTACAGCAATATCTTGGTTCAACCCCATCAATATCGTCACTGCATTTGAATGTTCCGTTTGTCCATGCCGGGTGTGCAGGAAGTGGCTCGGCGCATGAATCTGGACACACGCACCGCATCGTCGTTGTGGAAGGATAAGGCGCTGGTAGAAGTCAACCTGGCTGTTCTCTACAGCTATCAGGTTAGCTAGCGTTTGCTGATGTCATCGGTGTGTGTGTGTGTGTGTGTGTGTGTGTGTGTGTGCGTGCGTGCGCACGCTCACCCATGCACATGTATGCATGGAGCTCAAGGCGTGTGTTTATTCAGAGGATCTACTGTGCAATACACTGGCCTTTCCCGGCAATACCCATCACATTGTTGACCATGTATGCCTTGTCCGGTGTGCCCCTGCTGTATTCCTCGCTGAGCAGAAAGCCAACGTGACCATCTCCGATCATCATAGCGCCGCTGAGAGCTTCATGAAACATCTGGAAAAGGAGGTGAGAGAGGGAGAAGGAGAGGGAGCAAAAATGGCAATCTACACGTGGAGAACAGATTGTCTATAGAAGCTGTACCCTAAGAGGGATTCCCTCCACCCATTCTACTATAAGTATGTCTTCCCGCGGCTGTATTGGGCAGGCAGGCATTGTGGGATGGTCTAAGACCATGATTGAGAAACAAGGGGTACGAGGTTCAAGTCCTGCTTGGAAGCGGAAGGATTTTTTTCCAGCCGTGCTGCAACATATGAATGGTATTTCGGTCTTTGACCACTTTGTGGTGGATCTGTTCTAGGGGGCGTTTGTTTTTGATCTACAGGTTTGGGTAGAAACTACTTCTTTCGGTAGAGGTGTTCGTTTTCTACTCAAAATGGTAGATTCTACTTTCCTCTACCGGCTCTACCAGGAAAACGTTGGTAGAAGCCAGTAGAAGTTGGTAGAGCTACGGGATTTCCAGCAAGATGAAGGAGTTGTACACAACTCCATACAGAAGAGAAACATTTCACGTACATATCGTGAAAAACTACTAAATCCGGTAGAACAGCGTTTCGTGCACTTACCTCTACCGTCTACCTCTATCGGTAGAGTGACTCTACTCTACTCTACCAGGTAGCTAAAAACGAACGCAGCCCTAATCACCTCCCACCGCTTAGTAGCTGCGTCTGTGCCTTGATCCTAGAGGGTGGCGGCGTTTCTGTGGATGCAGAAAACTCGGCCTGCAGCTGAGTCTCACGCGAACCGTGAACAAAATGCGTGGTATTTGGTAAAATAATCTATTTTGTGACCACACCGCCACTGACTATATGTGTATGCAGCCAACAACTATATTGTCGTCGACGGCAGAAGTGGTAACCTTCAGTTCAAGTGTATATCTCCTACTGCCACTTGCCTATTATCTGTCAGTCACGAGATTCTACTGATGAATGTGACAAGAAAATGTTCTGGAACCGAACTGTTGCTATTTTCTTTTGTGCGCGGGTATTATTTGATTTATAGCTATCTTATGGTCCATTTCCCTACCTTGTTGCAAGTTTTACCCACAGAATGCTCAGAAAAATGTAGCATGCACGTATTACTGCTTCTGAATGTAAATGCGTGCTTGAACGTGACTCGTGTGTTCTTCGCTTGACATAAACTTTCAGTATGCTACTCGTGGAGGCTGTCCGACTGACTGGGTGTGGGTCAACCCACCGATGTCTGCCAGTACTACACCAGTATATCATCAGGTAGGTACAGACAAACAGAAGTGAAGTGTTTTCAAACTTTTCATGATAGACCCTTTTAAATAAAGGGTACGGAAATGATTGATCGATGCTGGTTTGTGAAGCATAGAGAGTTTGTGGTATTGGTACGCATTTTGTGTATGAACACTACTACTACAGTCCATTTCAAAACTATAGACGCGTACCTCGGCAAAAGCCGTTATGCCAGCATCTATACCACAAAAAATCTGTGATCACTTTGTGCATAAATTTTTCCAAATTGGGCGTCTGTTATCCAATCGTTTAGAAACTATATGAGAGTAATTGTGGAACGGACCTGAGCAATATTCCGAAAACTATTCTCAAAAATTCCAGTCGAATTTGAAATATTTCAAAAACACTGCGCGTCTATAGTTTTGAAATGGACTGTAGACGGTATTCTTTAGTGTCTGTATGTGTGTTGTGTGCTTGTGTGTGTCGATGTTTGTGGGTGTGTGTGGGGGGGGGGGGGGGGGGGGTGCATGCATGCATCCATGCAATGCGTTTGAGCGTGTGTGTACGTGTGCATTCATCCAGGAAATGTTGATGTATCAATTGAGACCATCGTATGAGTATCAGGTAAGACAGGGTGGGTAGCCATGAAATAAAGACAAAAATGTTCACCGCACATGCCCATTGCATAACAACTGAATGACCGCGTTAATGGTCTTATTCCCGTAGCTATGCGGAAGACGCTACTTCAGTAACGTCTGGCGCTAGCCAGGGTCCACACAGCTTTAATTTGGTATTTGTGTGTTTGTGTGTTTGTTTGTTTGTTTGTTTGTGTCACGCCTGGCGCTATCCGTATCTGACGGCAAAAAAGCATAGGATGTTATAAATTTTTCAATTTTTCCTATTTTTTTTTCAGGCAAATCCTGGGATTCGAACCCCACTATCGCCCTACATGCATTCCCCCATACACTCCGCATTCATACCCATTCTTCCAAGTTGCTTCACGTTACTAAGAACGTTTAGCAACGCGAAAGTTCGAAAGACAATTCGAGTCTGGGAATGAGTACAGAAACAAAGGTCGAAACTTCGAAAACTTGGACGCGAAGTTGCAGTGATTTGCGAAAGTAACTTTCTCTTTTCTCGGTACGCATTTCACTACAGGGAGTAGTAATTTTACAGCCCCCTGCTTGAGACTGAGCTGCATATACGGTACGGTACTATAAGATTCAAATAGCTTCGAGAAAAAGTCGTTTCGCATTGCTAAACCTCACAAGTTTTCTTTTTCGAAATAGATTTTCGCGAAATATCGCCACCACCAAAAGTTCGAATTTTCGCGTTGCTAAACGTCCCTACTAAGGACGTTTAGCAACGCGAAAGTTCGAAAGAAAATTCGAGTCTGGGAATGAGTACAGAAACAAAGGTCGAAACTTCGAAAACTTGGACGCGAAGTTGCAGTGATTTGCGAAAGTAACTTTCTCTTTTCTCGGTACGCATTTCACTACAGGGAGTAGTAATTTTACAGCCCCCTGCTTGAGACTGAGCTGCATATACGGTACGGTACTATAAGATTCAAATAGCTTCGAGAAAAAGTCGTTTCGCATTGCTAAACCTCACAAGTTTTCTTTTTCGAAATAGATTTTCGCGAAATATCGCCACCACCAAAAGTTCGAATTTTCGCGTTGCTAAACGTCCCTATTATCTTGCGTTTGAAAGCCCTATTTAAATATTGTGGGCAGCTGTATGTGGCCAGCTGTGTTTGATGGTACGGTACGGTACGGTACGGGAGACGGTGTCGTATTACCCTCGATCGTACCTGTCCCGTACCTATCCCCTACCGTACCGTGCCATCAAAGACGGCTGGCCACAATGCATATTCAAATACTGTATAAGCAGAAATATTCGTCTGGAATTTAATTTCGTCTTTTTCGTCCAAGGAGCTTTTGGACTAAATTAAATGTAGGACTGATGTCGATTTGCCCAGCTTTTCTATACACTCTTATGATCCATGGACGAAATTTTCAACCGGACGAACTCCTTTTCTTTGGAGTTGGACGAAATTATTCACCGACGAAATTTTCTGCCTCTACAGTAGGGCTTTCAAATGCAAGATCACAATGTGAAACAACTTGGAAGAATTCGTATGTATGCGAAGTGTGTCGGGGGATGCATGCAGGGCGCGCGATAGTGCGGGTTCGAATCCCAGGTTGTCTAAAAAAAAGGATTTTTTTTAAGAATTAATTTTATAACATCCCTATGCTTTTTTTTGTCTAGGTCATCAAGGCAAAAAAGCATAGCGTAGGGCCCTGAGCTTCCAAGCTCTCTCGTTTAGGTATGGACATATTTCAATGTATTTCCCGCAACCACCTACCCCCCCCCCCCCCCCCCCACACACACACACACACAAACGCACGCACTGACTGAACACAGGGTGGATAGTGTGTGCCTCTGGCAACATAGAATCGCGTATCTCCCCCCCCCCCCCCTACACACACACAACCCTGTGACTTCAAAAACATCTGGCTATCATATTTTGTCAAAGAATGTTGTTGGCAGAAAAATTACAAAGCGCTTCTCACGTGCCCACGAATATCCTTCACTTCAATCGAATTTCTATCTTTTTTTCGATTCTTGAATGCTTTCAATGTTCAGGAAGATCCATGGAAGATCGAAGCCAATCGCAAGCTTGGCGATCGCAAGGACCGATTCAAGCGCTTTGCATGGTGAGGCCATGTACATGCACAGTAACACTTGGTGTAAGCGACCTCCGTGTTTAGCGACCATCTGCTCTTAACGACCGTTTTTCCATGCACCGGCAGTTCTACACAGACACTGTGGGACCTGGTTCTAAAGACCACTTGGTTTTAACCACCGCTTTTGCTTGCACCGTGGGGTAGTCGCTTATACCAGGTTTTACTGTAGCTGGAGTCAATAATGATCCACTACTGTTCACTTGTGCGTGTGTGTGTGGGGGGGGGGGGGGTGTGCACGCATGTGTATGTGTGTGTGTGTGTGTGTGTGTGTGTGCGCACGCGCGCGCGCGCGCGCGCGTGCGTGGATGTGTGATGTGGGTATGTATGTATGCATGTACATGCTTTTCGAATGACTTCACATTTGTGTCCGACCATCAGGGTGGTGAAGACGTTCAATCGCATGTTCAAGACCAGTATGAGTCGACGTGTCAAGGCTGTCATTCTCTATGCCACGGAGACGGGACGCTCAGCTACGTACGCCAAGAAAGTCGGCGAGTTGTTCAGCAACAGCTTCAACTATCAGGTATATTTATGGCAGTGCAGTGCTGTTAGGTCCTCATTCCCGTACTAACTTGCCCCAGCTGGCCTGCACCCTGTATGCCACCTTTTGTTCCATTGGCCTGGGTAGCTACTTGCATGCCCATATGTTTGCCCTAGCTATCCAGGCCCTTTACTTTGCACTCTGTTTCTCTCAGCTTGCTCTCGCTCTTTCTCTTGTCGTCACCATGTGGTCTTTTGTTTCCCGCCTCTCCGTCTCCCCCAACAAATGTTGTCCCTCGTCTGTTGCTCACTGTGTGTATGGAATCACCGGTATTGTTGTTTCTAAATTCAACATTGGCGACCAATTTGGGGATCGAACCCATGACCCTGAGATTAAGTGTCTCATCCACTACTGACTGACCCAACAGTGAAAGTTCCCCTTTGATTAAGGCAGTGTCACCCTTGAGTACACATTATTACGCATGTTCACATACATGTACGTTCAAATGGCACTAGCTTCTCTGTTTCCAATATAGTGGGTTAACACTTTACATGTGTATTGATCCATCCGGTGTGGTTGCCAAGGTAACGTGCATGGACGAGTACAACCCGCTGGAGTTGGAACACGAGCAGATGGTTGTCATAGTGACCAGCACCTTCGGCAATAGAGAGCCCCCGGAGAACGGTGTGGTAAGTCGGTGTCAGGTGTGGTGCATGAGCTAATGAAAGCCTGTTGCACAGCTTTGGCTATCATCTCATCAAACCTCTGTCCTCTTCTCCCGAACTCATCCACCTTCAGGAATTCTTCAGGACGCTAACAGGAATCGCAAACTCCGAAGAAGACAACTCCCAGTGGCTGACAAATATCAAGTAAGTGGCTCTGTGCTTGCACCAGCCTTGATCACTTGCTGTCCGAGAGATAGAATGAGCCTTAAACGAAGGCATTTGATGTTTAGCGATGTTTGCGAAACATTCCAGATCACAATAAGCGGGGCATTGTGGCGGAGTGGCAAGTTCATTGCTCTTGAAGTGAATAGTTGCGGGATTGAAACCCGTGCGACCAGAGCCTTTTCGGTCACCTCAACTTGTCCTATACACGTACCCTTAAGTTCATGGTTAGGGTTTATCGGGTGTTAGCGGCCGTCGTGAGTTCCCTTCGGGAATGGACACGATAATTTACTTTTTTTTTAAAGTTCATGTTCACATACCGTATGTGGTAAATTGCTTGAGGGACGGTTTATAACGGTACTGTTTATAATGATCAGTTTCACCTATCATCGTTTTCATCGTTTTCCGTGCTGTGTGATGATCGAGAATGCTTGAAACTCTGAGTAACAGCTACAGCGCGTTTTCCCTTTCTCTTCACCTCAGTGTCATTGGTATATGTGTAAACGAGAGAGCTTGGAAGCTCAGGGCCCTACGCTATGCTTTTTTGCCTTGATCACCTGCAATGTAGACAAACAAAAGCATAGGGATGTTATAAATTCTTTAAAAAAATCCTTTTTTTTTAAGACATAACCTGGGATTCGAACCCGCACTATCACGCGCCCTGCATGCATCCCCCGATACACTTCGCATACATACTAATTCTTCCATTGGGTACTAATTCTTCCAAGTAAAGTTAGTTGCTTCACGTTATGATCTTGCATTTGAAAGCCCTATTTGAATATGCATTGTGGCCAGCCGTCTTTGATGGTACGGTACGGGATAGGTACGGGACAGGTACGATCGAGGGTAATACGACACCGTCTACCGCCTTGATGACGGCAAAAAAAGCATAGGGATGTTACAAATTTTTCAATTCTCCTATTTTTTTCAGCCATATCCTGGGATTCGAACCCGCACTATCGCCCTACATGCATTCCCCCCATACACTTCGCATTCATACCATTCTTCCAAGTATTAGTTGCTTCACGTTATGATCTTGCATTTCAAAGCCCTATTTGAATATTGAGGCCAGCTGTATGTGGCCAGCTGTGTTTGATGGTACGGTACGGTACGGGACAGATACAAGATAGCGCCAGGCGTGACACAAACAAACAAACAAACACACAAACAAACAAATACCAAATTAAAGCTGTGTGGACCCTGGCTAGCGCCAGACGTTACTGAAGTAACGTCTTCTGCATAGCTACGGGAATAATTATGTTCTTGCCTGTCTGCATTTTGCCAGGTATTGACCTCGCGCTTTTATACACAAGCCATTGAGTTTTGCCATTCATTCATGCATGTTCTATCTAGCCTGTTTTCTCCTCCCTCTGCCATATCTACATCTTATCTCTGCCATATCTAATTTCTTATGACATGGGTGCATTAAGCACACTATAGGTCTGAAGCCGAGACTTCAGGTTGATCGAGCGCACCACATCTCACCACCCGTTGGGAGATTTCTGCTTCTCTTTGCAATACGAGGGAAGCATGGATACAGCGAATGGGATTTTCGGTCTCCATCGAGGGTGGTGGCGTTCCTTCAGATGCGGAAAATACGGCCTCCAGCCAAGTCTCACGCGAACCGTGAATTTTTGCAATTCATCGTTGTCTCGTTTCCTGCAGGTTCTCTGTGTTTGGACTGGGATCTCGTGCGTACCCGCAGTTTTGCAAGTTTGGAAATGACATGCATGACGTCCTCCAGGAGTGAGTAGTGCTGTTGTTGGCATGGTACCCAATGTTTGAATCCCCACCCTGCACATCTCACTTTTCCTTTGTGCAGGGCCCTGCAAATCTAGACTGCACAGACCTTTGCAAATGTAATCTGTGTATCAGCTGATGGTGTTCTGACATACCAATGGATATGTTTCTCATTCTGTATACACCGGCATACCACTAGACGCAGATGACGGAGGCAGGAGCACCCAAAGTGAGGGGTAGTAGGCCGCAGCCAGATGTGACTCAGGAGAGAAGTCGCGTGAAATCATTTCTCGCCTATCTCGCTCCGCTCGACCGGCGAGAAATACAGCTTTCATAATGAGTATGGTGGGTCTGATCTACTCACCTCCCACCGCTTAGGAGCTGCACCTGCGCCTTGCTCCACAGAGGGTGGTAGCGTCCCTATGTAACGCGAACAGTGAATATTTTATTATTATTTTAAAGAGTATGTTCTGCATGTTCAGTGTGCTCTGTGCGATTTTGTGCTTTCTACTTTTCATTCATGCCAACATACATCTTTCAATGCGGTGAACATCTGGAAAGGCGACTAGCCTCGGGCAATCATAAAAAGATCATTATTGTTTTCAGAATGTATTTTTGCAGTATGGACATAGTGCGATGGCATAAACACATCTGTGAGTAGGTCAAGTTGTGGTACAAGGAATCACATCATGCTCGCCTGTGTGTGTGTGTGTTCATCGTCCTCTGTCCGTCTCGTTCCTGCAGCCTGGGTGGTGAGAGCGTTCATGATGCTGGTGAAGGTGATGAGTTGTGTGGCCAGGAGGAGTCCTTCCATGAGTGGATGAAGAAGTGTTACTTGGTAAGCCAAGCATCCATCCACTGCCTTCCTGGGCAAGCTCTAGAGGTAGTGTTATTGCTGTCGCCGCGGCCAGTGTCGTTGTTGTGGTCTTCGTAGTTGCTGTACTTCTATTTAAAGCCCCATCACAAACAGATAGCTATGCCTTCATACATGTGTGTGACTATAAGAACTTATAATTAAGAAAAGCATTAATTTGTATGCAAGAAATGGGGGAATGGAATTATTGTTGTGATAGTCTTGTTGTAATTTTCTCTCCCTCTCTCTGTTTTCCATGCTTGCTTTGCAGGCTGCCTGTGAAGCTTATCACATTGCTGACGGAGACAAGACCATTGCCGACAAAGCACTGAGTGCACTCCCGCCGTCCTGGGAGGCGCAGATGTACCGACACCAGGAGGAGAAGGAAGCGACGGGAGAGCCACTGAGCAGGACTGAGTGTACGTGTTTCTGCTTCTGCCACCGCAGTGATGCTTCTGTTGCCACTGCCACTGCCACCGCTGCTGCTGATGCTGATGCTACTGCTGACACAGCTTCTACTGCTGCTGCTGCTGTTGCTAATGCTGATGCTACTGCTGACACAGCTTCTACTGCTGCTGCTGTTGCCGCTGCTGATGTCACTGCTATCTCTGCCGCTGCTGCTGCTTCAGCTCCTACATGTAATGGAGAAGTGATCTTGTGTGTATGCACGCACAGAGGCAAGACATACGTACATGTATGTGCACAACTGGCTGTGTTACTATCAGTACATGACTTATTGCATGCAGGGATTTGAAGCTGCTGGTACAAGTTAAATGTCGCTAGTGCTTGTTTGGTCAACAGAAGTCTCGCCGTGCTGACCTTGCGTTTATGCATGACTTCGTTGTGTGTCTTTCTGTCCCACTCAGCCCTTGGTATTCTACACCACAAGAAGACGGCAACGGCCATTGTCAAGGGAGTCAAGGAGCTCCAGGCCGTCGGTGCTTCGTAAGTGAAATCAGTGCGGTGTTGGAGAATGAATGTGAGGATATTAGTGGTGTTTGTACCTTAGCAATGTGACCTGGTGACAATTTGTCGAAGCAGTTTTCCTTTCCACTTACAACGGGACATGCATCATACAAAAACTCAAGCAAAGCACCAGTTTCACACAATCAACGTCCTGAAAGGCATCGACATGCTGAGTAAGCCAATGCATGTCGACGATAGCAATACTAGCTATAACTGCTATCGACACGTTCTGACGTTAAAGAGTTTGAGCATTTGAGATGCCACGCAATATCTGTAAAGGGCCAAGGGACACTTGATCTTTGCAGCAGAAATCAACTTTCAAAATCCTTTTCTATCTACTTGGTCCGACTTATTAAAATGTGCGCTTCGCTTCAAAACTCAAGCCTATGTCCAAAGGAGCACCTGTACTAAAAAATCGACCAACAGAGGATAGATAGATAACTACTGTGTCGTTTCTTGGCCTGACCTTCTAGTTTCCATCTCTGCTGGTGTCTCAGGGCGCTTCTTCAAGTGCGTCAACCTGCAAAACGTCGACATTTTTTTCATCTCCTCCAAGCTACACTGCGCTTCCTTGATTTTTCACTCCATAGGCACGATTTAGACGATCGACTTCGCCTCCTCCTCGTGCAGTACGACTGCCAGAATGGTGGCTGTAGGTGTTTTCGCCTGACGCTCCCAAGAGACTTTCAATGAGGCGAACAAGTAAACCACCACGCATAAAAAAATCCCTTCTCATCACCGTGTGCCGCGCGCGTAGAACTAGTACTGAGTCTGATCTGTGTCGACATGACTGTCACACAGTCAGCTGCATCAGACCATGCGTGCTCTTCCCTGCCTGTTTCACGAATCCACTGGCCCCGGAGACTGGCGATGTTGTGACGCATCGATCGCGATCGCGGCTCCGAGGAGTCGGCGAGGACTCCGCACCATTCAAGCACCGTATTCACCCTTTCTGCGCTTCAGTTTTCCAGCCAGGTTGTCGCCTGAAAGTCGACCTCAAGGGCGGTTGTTTATATCGATCAACTTCTCGACGATCTCTTCTGTGATCTTGATTCGTCGGCCGCCACATTGAGACCGAATGCGAGAGAGATCAGCACAAACTGGACGGAGCGATGCAGGTGCTTTCTGCACGAGTTTCTGGATGACGCGTTTGCTGAACATATTTGATTCTTCCAAGGAAACAGCGACTGCAGAGATTTCAATCCACCAGGAAGCACTCGAGAACGATCGCCCAGGAGTTTCTGGTACTCCGTGACAATTCCCCATCGCAGTGGGGTGTTGATTTCAGCACCAGGCCTTCTCTGTGTTGTGCAAGAAGCAACAGGAGTCCTCTGACGACAAAATTTGCACGCAAAATTCTCGAGTCGACTAGGATCCTGAGGCGCTGCCTCCTTTGGGGGTTGGAGCCATTTCTTCTTCAACATCACAAATCGACAACTGAAGGATAGTGTTAGATAGCTGGAAAGTTTGTTCCGTCCTGAGATTATTTGAATTTGTTTGTCTGACGTTCGAAGCGAAACGCACATTTCAATAAGTCGGACCAAGTACATGTATTTCTCATATCCTTTTCTTCGTTTGCAGTCGTTCAACTATCCTGGTGGAATTGAAAACATGTGACAATCAGCTGTTGGTTTACAACCCTGGTGATCATCTCGGTGTTTGTCCAGAGAACAACGCTGAACTGGTAGGACAAGCCAGATACACTCTGTGCCAGGGGAATCAGGGAAATGTGTACTGTATTGTGTCATAGGTATGGCAACATGTTTGCTGTTGGATTGTGCTGGCAGAAGCATGCTTTCAAAGCATGCATGACTAGAGTTGTGTGTTACTCTCCTGAGAATCAGGTCATCAGTTGGCAGGCCCAGTATGCTGTCTTGCCACTGCTGCTGCTGCTGCTACTGATGGTGGTGCTGCTGCTGCTCAGGTATCCCTTGGTGCTGCTGCTGCTGCTGTGACCCCTGATGCTATTGCTGTTGCTACTGCTGCCATAGGTAGTGATACTCAGTAACTGATGCAGTTAGTGCTGCTGCTGCTGCTGCTGCTATGTTCTTTGTTGGTGTTGGGGGTAACTATTGTTCCTGTTGCTGCTGCTGTTTCCATTATTTCCGCTCCCAAAGTCACAACTGCTGATGATGATACTGCTGGCATTGTTGTTGTGTGTTGTGTGTTTTCATTCCCAGGTTGAGGCAGCGCTGAGCAAGCTGAAGCTGGACGTGGACCCGGACGCTACTCTTCTCTTTGAAGTTCAGCAGCGCGGCGAAGATGGTCAGTTTTGTGTGTGGGTGCTGCATTGAAGAAAGTGTCCACATAAAATAATTATAGTGCTCTGTTTTCAAGTGCACTCGCCATGTTTGTACTCGCACTCAACTAAAGTAAAGCTAGTCCAGGCAGACCTCTTCTTCATCAGTTTGAAGGAAGTTGCAAACGGGAACCTCTTCTTTCTGTGTGTGAAATTACTAGACTCTTCGTACCACCAAGTCGTTTACTGTGACTGACCAATGAAGTTGTCTGTCTCTCAATGTTGTGCTGCTTCACCCCCACTCTTTGCCATACACCTCTGTTTCCAGGCAACTATAACAATGAGTGGGTTGCGTCGCAGCGACTACCGGAGCCATGCTCACTGCGCCATGCTTTGACGTCGTACCTGGACATCACGTCACCTCCCACACCGCAGATGATCTCGTTCATGGTGTCGCTGGTTGACCAAGATGCGGTAGGGTTAAGTCAATGCTTGCAACTTTGTTAGGGGGCAAGGTGCGCCACAGTAAAACTTAGGCGCGAATCCTTTCAAGGATCTGTGCCTCGTTTCATTGCAAGCTCACTTCAAGTTTCATGTCCTCTACGTGCACAGTAGATCTGTGATAAGACACACTGCCATGCGCAACAGGAATGTGTATTTAGTGTCCGAGATACTTCGTATCCAATTATGGTTCAATATGGAGTGATACCCCCATGCCCCGGACTATGTCCTTAAGTTAAGCAACTGCACGTATCATCTGCAGAGTACATACTCAGTGAGTTCAACTGTGCACTTGTTCTGTATCGAGTGAAGCATACAGATGCATGTACATGTGTGTCCAATGCAGTTCTGCAACTGTGTCACTTGCCACCATTGCTACAGCCGTCTGCTTCATTCGCTCTAACTTTACGAATGACCCAAAACATTCCAGAGCCTATGGGCCGTGGTACTTGGGGTTTCAGGTGGCCCGGCCAAATGGGATACTTGACTGGAAATAAACATTATTTCAACGGCCTGATTTTCAACCCCAGATCTATCTGCATGTACCAATGTACACGGATTGGGTTGGTCATCCCTTCTTCCAAAGTCATGGCTGGACAGGGCAGACCAGGTGCTATGGCCTTTATAGGAGTTTACTTTTCATCCAGTCCCTAACATCATCATTTCACCTTCTGAATGTCTGGTCCTGGATTGGTGGGAGCAGCCTAATACACGACTTTCCGCAAGTCATGGCATATCCCTGTTCACAGCTTCAGTTTCTGCCACCTTTCCGTGTAAAATGGTGGATGTCAGTACTGTCTTTGCACATCTCGTACATAAAACAAATCACCCAGTTGTGTATCATTCTGATGTCTTTCTAACTCTAAATTGTATTTTTCCTTTCCTCAGCCTACTGCCGATGCTGAGAAGAAGGAGCTAGAAGAATTGGCAAAGGTGAGCTCGTTTTGTTGTTGTGAATACTGAATAGTGGTCATGTCAGCATTATTGGACTTCACAGAACATGCACCAAATCCTGTCTCTTTACACCGGCTACTAGAATTACACCGGCTACTAGAATTACACCGGCTACTAGAATTACACCGGATACTAGAATTACACCGGCTACTAGAATAACACCGGCTACTAGAATTACACCGGCTACTAGAATTACACCGGCTACTAGAATCACACCGGCTACTAGAATTACACCGGCTACTAGAATCACACCGGCTACTAGAATTACACCGGCTACTAGAATTACACCGGCGACTAGAATTACACCGGCTACTAGAATTACACCGGCTACTAGAATTACACCGGCTACTAGAATTACACCGGCTACTAGAATTACACCGGCTACTAGAATTACACCGGCTACTAGAATTACACCGGCTACTAGAATTACACCGGCTACTAGAATTACACCGGCTACTAGGCTACTAGAATTACCGGCTACTAGAATTACATCGACATGTCACGTGCCTTTGACACGATCAGGCGAGGACAGTTGATGGACGTGGTTCAGCGATTCTTGGAAGAAGACGAGGTACGCTTGATCCGTTACCTGATCTCAGATACGAATTTGGCAGTCAGACTGGGCACGGAAACATCAAGCTCTTTCTCCACTAACATTGGTACCCCGCAAGGCGACTCCTTGTCGCCAATTCTATTCGTGATCTACCTGGAAGCTGCCCTGCAGGATGTGCGACAGCGAATGGCTGCACCTGTGGCCCGGCATCTTCCGTACGATGTGGAGTACGCCGATGATGTGGACTTCATCAGTATCTCTAGTGATTGGCTTCGGATGTTAGAGCCACAGGTTGCCACCATCTTGGGTACATGGTCCCTTACCGTCAACCAGACCAAGACAGAATTCACAGCCATCCAGCGAGAGGCCGATCGTGCTGATGAGCCATGGCGTATGGTCAAGAAACTCGGCTCTCTCCTTGGTGATGCAGAGGATGTCACCCGCAGAAAGCAGCTTGCGGCGATAGCGTTTAAGTCCCTCTGCCAGTTATGGAAGAGAAGAGACCAAGTGAGTCTGGAGGTGCGCGTCCGGCTGTATAACTGCTTCGTGTTACCTGTCTTGCTTTACAACTGCTCCACATGGGGCATCACTCGACAGACAATTGAAGCGCTGGAATCGTATCATCGGCGGCAACTTCGGCATATCTTGGGTATCAGGTGGCCCAACCGACTGTCAAACGATTTGGTTTACGAGCGCTGCAGTGCTGCTCCACTTGGCAACATTCTGGTGAATGCAAGATGGCGGTTGTTCGGCCACATCCTGCGATCAGATGAGCACACACCGGCTAGGGAGGCCATGAGTGGATTCTTTGGCTGCTCCGTGCCGGGATACCGTGGGCGGCCGCGGATCACGCTACCGGTCCTGCTGAATCAAGACGCGGAGCGAGTCGGCTGCCGTCTGAGGACTCCAAGGGACTTGCAGCTGATGGCTCAGCGAGCACTGGATCGCCGTGAATGGACATATCTGTGCAACGCAGTTACAGATGCGTACAAGGCAGAGTACTGGTGAAGGAAGTTGGCACTGCAATGGTTTGAGCTACATTCTTTGTTGTTGGTACTCTGATTATCCGTATTATCCGTATTCACATGGCCTTGCCATTCATTCAGTATATTAATGTCATCAATAATGATATTCTTGTTTGTATTAGTTTATGTGACACCATTTTCTATTTTTCTTTGCCTGCCTGCCTGCTGGCGGCCTTTTTTCGCATGGTTCGGTGCAAGCGAATTTGGGCGAGCCCATTGACGCGGGAGCACAAATAATAATAATAATAATACTAGAATTACACCGGCTACTAGAATTACACCGGCTACTAGAATTACACCGGCTACTAGAATTACACCGGCTACTAAACATCTTCCATGCACTCATATACCTCAGGGGCGTCGCACATGGTACGGCACTACGGTATTGACTGTACCAATATTTGCCCCAAGTACCCCGTGATTCTATAAAATGCACTGATTTGGGCTCTAAATTTCCAACATGTTCGGCTCAGCCACCCCCCCCCCCCCCCACGAGTAAATTGTACTTCAGATGGCTGACCGTACCACGCTAGAATACCTTCCGACGCCCCTGTACCTCTTATCCGGACCTCAAAGTTACGGGCACCTCAGTCTACCGGGCAACCTGTGGGTGATTGAAGTGGAAATATTACTACCAAATTCCAATGGTGTATTACAACAGCACCTGCTCAAGGAAGGTAGTGCATGCATTGACCCATCTTGTGTCTTGATGGGTGGATGCTAAACATTTGTTATCTTCTTTTTCTTCGTGTGGTGCTCTGTATTGGTGTGCGCAGGGCTCCGATGCGTATGAAGACTGGAAGTATGACAAGTTTGCGACTCTGCCGGAGTTCCTGGATGAGTTCCCCTCTCTCAAGATACCTGTCTCGCTGATCATCGCTCAGTTCCCACTGTTGCAGGCGGTAAGCAATGGCGTCTGTGTGGAGCTAGGCTTGGGAATGATTCTACCAGGTCTCATGATCTGTCTGTGCATTTCTAAACCCACAAACCGTCAGACATGTGGATGCAAAGTGAAGGCCGCACAACGGCAGTGGTTCATGGTGAATTCTGACCAGTCCATCCAACCATAGGTCTCGGAGTCCTTGCTAGCTGAGAGCACCAGGCAAGATTCCAAGTAGGGTAAAAGAACAAAAATAGTTTGACCAGTATAATAATGAAGTACGAGTACGTGTCAATGTACCTTTATGGTGTGTAACTGTGAGGGTGATGATGGTGAGAAATCCATAGCTCATGAATCGACCCACCCCAGACCTGCGACGGTTGAGAAATTGACCATTCCCAGCCCTGCAACGGTTGAGCAATATGAACACTCTTAAAACTGTGGAGTAAAAGTGGCTTAGTTAGATTTCACTTGCCTCGGATGCAAACAGTGTGTATACAGTGTTCCGCTTGGCATGGCCATAGGGTCCAGCAAACACAGGTTTTGCTGTATACTGGAAAACGGGTAACGTTTGCGACAATAAATGTTTGCGTTTTACAAAGTGAGACTGGTTTGCGCTGTTTAATGTTTGCGAGTCGTTCTACAGTCGTTCTACACAGTCGAGTCAGTCCTTGCACTGAACTTAACATGGCGCGAGTTTGCGTTGTTCAAAGTTTGCGATTCGGGGCCTCTCGCAAAATTCGCAAACATTTTCACGTCGCCATAGTTACCCGTTTACAGTAGTACACACTCTCAGGCATACTCCTTTTCCACGATTCTGCCCGGTCTGCTTCAGCGATACTACTCGATTTCTTCATGTCCGAAACTCTGCCGCGGCGAAGTCCATCTCACTGTTGCTGTGGTAACCTACACCACCAATGCTGAAACGACACATCACGGTGTGGCATCGACGTGGATGAGCAAACTGAAGGAAGGTGACAAGGTCTCCTGCTTTGTCCGGAAGTGAGTCAGCTGAAAAAGAACCTTCATTGATGTGTGTGTGGGGGGGGGGGGGGAGGGGAACGTGCGTGTGCGTGTGTGCGTGTGTGTGTGGGGGGGGGGGTGCGTGCGTGCATGCGTGTGTACACCCTGGTCAGCCACCTAGATATGGTTGTGTAAGGTGTCGAACAGTGCACTCCTGATCACAGCACACTCACATGCCCTACTCATGATGTTCCTTACTTGGCAATGTTTATTTGGCGTATTGACGTGCTATGCATCTAAGCAGTATTGATAGTATGTGCTGCGCCACCATGAATAACATGTAGAGTAACACCTATGTTTGCCGGACCCTGTACCGAGCAGAATCCTGTATTGACCGGACAAATGTTCATGCACCAAAGTTCTGTGGATTGAACGTGCACCCCTGGATCAAGCGGCATCTTGTCATATCAGGATAGATACCGCGGCGCCAACGGTGGTCCGGTTAGGGCAAGCTCTACTTTAGTTGATATCGGTATCGGTAGGAGCCGCATCTGACGCCTGATCATGGGTGGTGGCGTCCCACGGAAGCGGAAAGGTGGTTCTTGACCAGGAAGTTGTACGACTCCTTGTTCTTGACCTGCCCGGTACGCGAACCCGTCGAATTTATTTTTATTTATTTTTTATATCGGTAAAGAAGCACATGATCACCTTCTAGTACAGGAACGTCGGAAGCAGTTTTCGATTGGTCCGGTAGTATTGTGGCCTTTCATACAGTTTGTATATCGATATGGTGGATACACATGCCCCTCCACAGTAGTAAACACGTTTTGATGGCCAAAAAGTAACATTAGTTGGTCCGGTAATAACCTGACCGACCGGACCGGGTCCGACGGGCCTGTAGTAGATGACAGTCCCACTGGACTTCTTCTTGTTTGCCCGCTATGTTGTTGTTCAGGGCACCGTCGTTTCACTTACCGGAAGACTACCGATCACCCGTTATCATGGTGGGTCCAGGCACAGGCATTGCTCCGTTCCGCTCCTTCTGGCAGCGTCGTCTCTATCTTATCCAGCACCATGGCAACCAGAAGACTGAGGAGTAAGTCGCACAGGTATACATACTCGATTACACATGGGCACAGACATAGACACAGACACAGGCACCCACATAAACACAAACATGCCTACGTGCACACATACATGTACACACAAAAGACAGACATACAGACACACTTGTACTTGTACTTGTTGCCCACTGCCAAAACTGGTCACTTGGGTCTCCCCGGAGAGGGGAGAGAGACTCAAAAGGAATCTTGGAAAGACGACTCAATTGGCTATTGAACCGCCCAACGACCGACATCCCCTGAAATCCCCAAACTCTGGGTGGACTTGAAAATGATCCCACTTATGACAGTCATCTCCCTGATGGCTGCTCTTCATCCCCTGCCTTTCCCAAGTCTGTGTTCTATATCGCTGGTGTCTGCTCTACATCCCCCTTGCTCCCGAATTCTTTTCTCGATCTCCCAGGTGTTGGCTCTTCATGACTGCTAGTCACCTCGCAGGTGTTTGTCCTATCCTTCCAATGTCTGTTATTCATGCTCCCCCCCCCCTTCCTCCTGATGTCTGCTCTCAATCTCCCTCGTGTCCATTCTTCCACCTCCCCAATGTTTGCTATTCTCTCTGTGATGTCTGGCCTTCAACTTGCTGGTATCTGTTTTTCATCTCATCAACGTTTCCTCTTTCACCCTGTACAGGGACACCCCCAAGTTGCCTAGGGGAGAGGACGTGCGCGAGACCGGCCTCGGCAAGATGAAGCTCTTCTTCGGCTGTCGCCACGACCAAGTCGACAACATCTACCGGACGGAGATCGGCAAGAATCTGCTGGAGGGATCACTGACCAAAGTCTGCTATGCTTTCTCCAGAGATCCAAGCCATCCTAAGGTTAGATTGTGTACAGACTGCAGCTGTTACAAGGCAATGAATGTAACTATGTGCACACTCGTGTCACAATCATAGCAACAATTGTGATATGAGGGTGCACATACACTCATGCCTCGGTTATCTGGACCCCGAAGGCACCGGCACTTCGGCCTACCTGGCACCAGCTGGGCAAGTTCCAGTGGAAATGTTGCTACTCTTTGTCACTTCTTGGGGATATAGTGACGTCATATGCCATATTCATGGCCTTTCCCCCATCGAAATGTATGTGATTCGGAGTTACGGGCATTTTGAAGTTACGGGCAGTGCCCCGGTCCCGGACCGCCCGGATACTGTTACGCGAGTTACAGCATTAGGGATGAGGGTAGGTGTAGTTCTATTCATTGCTTCATTGCAACTACTGTCTCCATGTCACCGGTTCAAGTAATTCCAAGTACAGTAAAACCTGTCTAAGACGACCACTTAAGGGAAATTCAAAATGTGGTCTCCATTGCCAGGTGGCCTCCTTATCCAGGATAATTTGACTTGAAATACATGTAGTATCCCTAGGTCCTGGTTGCAATGGTCTTCTGTGCCAGGTGGTCGCCTTATCCGAGTGGTCGCCTTGAGAGGTTTTACTGCACAGTAAAAACCTGGTTTAAGCGACCACCCCACGGTGCAAGCAAAAGCGGTCGTCAAAGCCAGGTGGTCTTTAGAACCAGGTCCCACAGTGTGTGTGTAGAACTGCCCGTGCATGGAAAAGCGGTCGTTAAGAGCAGGTAGTCGCTAAACCCAGAGGTCGCTTACACTGGGTTTTACCGTATATTAGTTCTTGCCTGGTACACTTGCTTGCTATGTACGCAATGCATTGAAATGATACAGTCCTGTAATTTCAAAAATCCAGAGATAAAAATGCTACATAATATCTGGAGCGAATCGTCAGGCGAAATAGCACGTCATAGTACATTTGAGATCAGCGGGAAGAAGATGACGACGTCCACTAATTTAGTATCTGTGCACACGAATCTGCTGTGGGTGTGACTCTGTGTGTCAGCTATGATATCATCTTCTGTGGTTCCATGCCTAGAATGTACATCTGAACAATCCTGAAAAGTTTGAATGACGTAGGTTGAGCGATCGCTCCGCGAAACATACTTTTTGAAATTCTCTTCATAGTATATCTTCCACCATTGAAATTTCGAATTTTTTCAAAAAAAGTGCTGAGAGGGGTGGCTTGCAACCTCGATATGGCTTGCTCCAGGCATGCTTTGGAGCCATCTTCTGTTGAAGTAGTGGCGGGGATCTGCCCTGCAACTGCTACGACAAAAAATGATTCGATCTGAGAAAAGGTGAGACCGCGAATCTCGGTTGAATATTGAGTATTTCAAGCCTTTTCACGACGAAGATGGAGTTCTTTTTGGAGATGGACATCGCGGCAAAGGACATGGTGTCCGACCTCTGGCGTCTGGTGAAGCCAGGGATCATTTGTCCAGTCAGGTCGGCAGCCTAACCATCGGTAAGCTTGGGTTTGGATCCCGTTCTGCTCGATGTGGTAGATCACAAACAATTTGATATCGCACAAATTGATCTCAGCATCGTGCGTACGGTATTTTATATTCAGAAAATCCCAAAGTGTCTCTGTGTGGCCGTCCTATGCCACGAGAAACTCCAATCAGGCCCCTATGTCCTCTACCTTCATGATTGAATGTCCACTTCGTTTGAACAACGAACACAACAATCGAGGACGGCTTTGCAATGAAAAATACAGCTATACTGGAGCTGAAAAAAGAAGAAAAAACGTGCTCAGGATGAGACTCGAGTACACGCATACTCTCCCAGCAGGTGAAACGCAAATTTTTGTGAAAAATGCGTGTCGCCGACTGACCAGTAATTTCGCCTGACGGAAGGTATGGCTGACTCTCAAGTCATAATTATTACTGATAAGCTCAGTATCAAGTCATGTGTCTATGTGTGCATGTGTGTGTGTGTGTGCATGTGTGTGTGTGTGTGTGTGTGTGCATGTGTGTGTATGTTGTGTGTGTGTGTGTGTATGTGAACATGTTTGTTTGTGCATGTGTACAGCAATACGTTCAGCAGAGGATCGAGGCGGAAGGCGAGGCTGAGCAGCTAGTCACCGATATCTGTGAGAACAACGGCCACATCTTCGTGTGCGGTGATGTGTCCATGGCCGACCGTGTTGGTCAATCATTCCAGGTAAAAGATATACATCCCCTGCCCCTCCCATTCCACCTCACCTTCTCCCCTGCACTGCCCTCCCCTTCTCCTTTCCCTTCATCCACTATGGCACGTTGTTATGATGCTCTTAAAGAGCCTTTTAAAAATAATGATAAAATATCAATCAATCAAAGGATGCCTTGGTTGCCTGGGAAACCTGGGAGACCAGGGTTTACTGAGGTTACCGGGGTTACGTAGGTGTTTAATTCAACTGCATGTATTATGGGCTGACTGTTTCAGAACATCCTCGTCACCAACGCTGCCATGTCCACCGAGGAAGCCAGTGATTATCTAGCGGAGATGAAGGTTGGTGAGCATGTGTATCTCGGTATGTGTGTGTGTGTGTGTGTGTGTGTAAATGTGTTTGTTTGTGTGCATGTGTGCGCATGCGTGTTTGCGTGCGTGTGTTTTTGGGAAGGGTGCATTTACTCATGTGATTTGTATGTATTATAAATAATATTATAATATTATAAGAAAGGGTTTGCTCCCCACACCGGAGCTCGCGCTATTCCGCCTTACCCTTTCTTACAAATTATCGCCGAAGTCGCAACCACTACTTCGTATTATAATATTATAATAATATTATTATAATATTATTATAATATTATTATAATATTATTATAATATTATTATAATATTCGCGGGGCTCACTGACTTGTCAGTTTGAGCACCCTGGCAAGGTACGTTCGGGCCTGATTGGAAATTTTTATTTTCATTACTATCAGGTTCGGCCTCATTTCCTCTGTGCTGCGCTGACGAGTTCACAAAGAATGAAACAGCATGCTGTCCGCAGATGGAGTATTATTTGTATGTATATGTATCTCTAGCACTTAACCTAAGACTGCTGGAGATTGCCTTGGCATAGTGCAGCTGGGTATGGCATAGTGCAGCTGGGTATGGCATAGTGCAGCTGGGTATGGCATAGTGCAGCTGGGTATACACTTCTGCTCACATACTCACTCTCTACCACCCTTGGAAGGAAAATCAGTGCTTGCTTACAAAGGAGCAGGGACAGATGCTACTGCAGTTGCAAACCTCCAGCAACATGAGATACTCAAGTCGTGAAGTTCATCCACCAAATCTAACATGAATTATAGCTGACGGTTTGTTTAAAAAAAAAGAGCAAATTGCCTTCTCTGGGCTGTACTTAAACATTTATTTGCTCAAGATTTTGCAACCTAAGAATTTTCAACTGTGCACACGGGACGGGGCCTGGAGGCATGCACTGTCCACAGTACATGGGCACAAACTGGTGAATCAGCTGGGCCATTGCGCCACTATTGATCTGCTGCGGTTTCCAGTGCCCAAGTCCGCTTTTCTCGGGGACTTCAGATGGTTTTCTACGTGATTGCGTCCAGCACAGGTTGTACCTTTGAACCTAGTACACACACAAATAGAAGATCCCCCAGATAGGCGTTAGCCTTTGGGTAATCCTGAAATATAGACTATTTGATTACTTGACGTACCGGAATGTGAAATCGTGGAGGCTGCTGACACATAGTGAATTTCAAATCCAGACAGATGAACAATCATTTCACTACATAATGGAGACAGCGTGCCCACAGTTCTGAAATCTGAGTTGCATACTCTTGGGGTTATGGGCTTTTTATTTGAATATCTTGAAGTTTAAAATTCATGTACCAAGTGTAAGTTGGGTGTTTGAATGGCTGTCAAAAGAAGCCAATTTCCTCAGTACAAGTGCTTCTCTCTGGAAAATACAACACACGATGAGCGCATTGCATGTTTTTGAAAACCCCTTTCCCGTACATATACTACTCTGCAGGCCACTGGTCGCTATCATGAGGACATATTCGGAGTGACGTTGAAGACGCAGAAAATCACGGACAAGAAGAGGGTTGCGGCAAGGCGGTGAGTCCGCGAATCGTCACGTTTCTACTTTGCTTTAAGCCTAGGCTGCGATAGCAATCTACACAATAATTATATATCAATCTGTAATCTCAGCCTACGTTTATAATAGGGGCCATTACAACAGAACAACAAGGACAATCAAGGCTTGTTTGCTGCTACTTTAAGTTTCATGCTCACGCAATCATCAGGCAATAGGGGCCATCCATTATAATTGTCAATCTTTTATACAAACCAGAAGCTTTCGTTCATGGGTGGGCCGCGGAGAATTGAATTTTGAAAAACACGGATAGCTGAAACATCAATCCATTTTAGATGTAAAGTTTTGTGTGAAGAATACTCTTTCTTCATTAGCTTCACTGATGTTCAAAGGCGTCGGTGGTAAGAGTTGCTTGGTGATTTTTGCTCCTTTATGTGCGTATGTGTTTATGTGCACATGACTGACATAGCATATGTGTGTGTGTGTGTGTGTGTGTTTGTGTGTGTGTATGTGTGTGTATGTGTGTGTGTGTGTGTGTGTGTGTGTGTGAATGTGCGTGCATGCATGTGTGTGTGTGTGTGTACATGTGTGTTTATGCACGTGTGTACGTATGTGTACATGTGTGTTTATGCACGTGTGTACGTATGTGTACGCACATGTATATATATATGCATCTGTCCAGGCTGTGGCTCATGACTCTCAAGGCAAGAGC